CCCGCCGGGCCCGGGGGGAGCGGCATGCCACCCGGCAGTGCTACCTCTATATCAGATCCAGCAGAGCAGGGTGGCAGCCGGCTCCCTGGGAGCAGGGCTTCCTGCAGAGCCAGCTGCTTCTGAGCTGTAGGCACTGCAGTATAAATCTTATACTGGAAAGCCTGCAGTGCAGCCAGCTCCCCGGGAGCAGGGCCAGCAGCTGGGAGCCAGCTCCCGGTGCACCCTGGCTGCCAGCTCGCAGGTAACCACTGAGCTTTCCAGCGGTTACAACACACTTACCGAATTAACTGCTTTTGAACATCCCTACTAAGAACACAACTCCATTTGCCGGCTGCAGTAGGAGGCTATTACCCGCTTGCAAGAGCCAGCCACTAGGTGGCGACACAACCCATGCGGCACCAGCTCCCACAATGCTCTGTGCTTCCAGAGCACCAGGCCCCGGAGAGGGGGGGGGGTCCCTGTGTTCCCGGTCACGTTAACAACGTCTCCCTCTTTCTCGCGCGGCCTTCAGACTCCGGGCTACCAGACGAAGAAGCTGGAGAGCAAAGCGCTGCGGAACAAGCTCTTCCACATCAAGCGCATGGTGAGCGACTACGATAAGATGAGAGGGTAGCGCGGCAGGCGAAAGCAGACCCTTTTGGAGGGGGAAGACAGTCTGCCTGCGGCCAGCCGACTCCTCAACGCCCTGGCCCGCCCGTGGCTGTCTTGTTTTGTACCTTCGTTTTCAAAGCCGAATCGCCCGCGCTTTGAGCCATTTCCAAACCCAAGAGCCAGCAGGACCCAGAGAGCAGGGCCAGAGGGCAGCTTTCAGAAAAGAAATGAAACTCCATGGAAGTTCGCGTCCTGGGTTGATTCCTGCAGGCTCCTATCCTGCAAAAATCCTAGCCCCATTGGAATCAATGGCTTCCGTGGGGTTCATAGCTCACCCTTGGTGCTTAACTTTACGCAGGTGAGTCCTTCATTCAATAGAACTGAGCATTACGCATGGGCCTGCCATTGCTCCAGGATCGGACCCTCATCCGCTACACGTGTGCAGCTGTAAATGTGTATATAACTGGGCCTCAGTGTTCCCTGTAAGCTGCGCGCTTGGATGGCCACCCAGGAGAGATTTAGATGCCACCCAGCTGTTTAGCAGAGTGCCCATAGCTGTCAGGAGTTTCTAGTAGTGGTGCACGTCTGTAGATGCCACAAAATTTATTCTGCACATTGAAGGAAAAAATTAGAGGACATACTGGTGGGCATATAAATTAACCTCCTGTTAGCCCCTGTGATCTCAGTGTTGTTGAGGCCAAGTGCCTGGATTTCACGTGGTTCCAGGGATTTAGGGAGAAAACCCGATGCCAGATCCCAGGAAAAGTTGGCAAGGTTTGGCTCTGGAAAGGCAGTTAGCAAGGCCTCCTGCTCCCTCTTCGCTTTCTGTCCTTGTCCCCTTCCATCCTGCCCGTCTCAGTGGGGTTCAAAGCCAGGAGTGGGAGGCAGCCGTGCAGGTGCCGGCCTGTCACCCACGCCAGACCCAGACTCAAGTTTCAGCGGTTCCCCCCCACTTCCCCATCCGCTCCATGTTGCGGAAGTGTCTCTTGGAGCAGACAGCCTGAGTTCAGACACCGGCATGAGTAATGCATAAAGAGCGCCTGAGTCACCCAAAGCAGACGGCTCACATTCCGGAGAAGCCAGGAAAAGCCAGCAAGCGCCGTTGCTCGCTGCTAGGCCAGGAGCTTGTACTCCTGCGGGCGGTGAGTGATGCAGGCAAGGGAAGGCGTTTCCTTCCCAAAATTGCTCAGCCGCCCGGGAGGGGTTGAGGCTGCACCGCGTGGCAGGCTGGGGCCATGGCATGGCAGCCCCTGCCCTCCACTGGAGTTGGGCAGAGCTTGGCTGCCGAGGGGCGTGGTCTGGGGAAAGGGGTGTGGCTTTGGGCAGAAGGGGCGGGGCTTCCTCAGCACCCCCGTGGACGAGCCACCCCTGCACCACGGTCTTATAGTGGGACGGCGTGGCGTGAACCTCCCCACCCAATTGGGTTTGAACACTGCCAGTCCCTATTTCCCGGGCCAGTGCGCAAGAACTGGGTTCTGATGGCTGGAGGGGTTTTTTTTTTAATAAACTACTGATTTTAAAGGTCAGCGTCTTACTGGAAAAGGAAATGCTGCTCCTTTTCCTCCCTGAACCCGGGGGGTGTTTAAAACAGCAGCCACCATCCTTGGGATGCAGCCGGAGCCCTGGCCGGTTTCGCCACTGGCCGAAGCAACCTGCAGGGGTAGAAACGGGGGGAGGGAAGAGACGGTCGCCGCAGGGGCAATGGGAGGCCCCC